AAGGTGACAGGGATGCCAGCATCCAACTGAATGTGATCTGCCAGCTCAGTGAACTGGTGCTGCTGCTTCTGTAGCGTCTCCAGCAAACAGTTGATCTCCTGCTTTGCCAGCACAACTCTGCAGTCGTCCTGCAACACAAAAGAAAGAGCAAACGTCAGGCCTAAAAGTGAACTGCGGGAATGAAGGGTTCAAGGATTTTATCACCTGCACTTGATAAGAGAGCCAACTCAACCCTCTATATCTGTTTTTAACTTTTCTCCACCGTGTCATTAGTGACAGCCTCTTTTTTTTATGGCCAAAAACAGTTGGAAGTGATGTTTAAACAAATGATTTGCATAACATTTAAGGGAAAAAACTCTATTATGAATGCTGCTTTCAGACATGCACTGAACTCCAGAGATACTCAAGACATTCTCCTGAGGGGCTGTATGTGTGAATGCAAATGTCAGAGTAAGAGCCTCCTCCCTGCTGACCTTTTCCACCCAGTCCCCTAGTACAGTAGAGAGTCTGTAGAAAGTCCGCAGGAGCCGATGTGAGAACACAACAGGAGATGCTCCCTAGGATTTACCACGAGTGAGAGGGCGTGTTGATGACGTTTCAAACTAGCATGTGACGGATGCAAAAATAAATAAATAAATAAATATTTACGGATAAAAAAGCTGTAAATGATATGGGCCGACACCGTTGTTGGTGGGATGTGAGCCAAAACGTGATCTCTGAAACCAAATATATATTTTACATTCTGCCTCTGCACCACCCCTCAGCTGAACACTTCTCAGGTTCCTGCTGTGTTGTGCACGTGTGAAAGGCAAACTCTGGAAAGGTTCCAGACCCAACTGTGTGGACATTCTGTACTTTAAAGCGCTTTGAGTGGTCATCAAGACTAGAAAAGCACCATGTAAATACAGACCATTTACCATTCTCCTTTAAACACATTGATGGCGCCTGACATCACTCCTTCACTCCTCCCTAATCTCTGAATAGGGAGTGCCATGTAGAGGACTGTGAAGTGAGCTCATCCACAAAATGAAAAGAAAAAAATTGTCACGGGAAATAAAACCCTGCCCTAAAATCCTAAGAATTATTTTTCAGATCATAAAGTTCTCTTTCCTGTCATCTGTTGGCCATTTTCTTCATTCAGCATGAGCGCAGATGCATTGTGGGAAACAATGAATCCACTATATAGGGAACAAAATTCTCACTAAACATTACTATAAATTGACGACCTCACTATAAAGTGAGTAGTGAGTGATTTCAGCCATTGACCAAAGCCCAGGCCAAACCTAAGTTATAGTCTGGGTACAAAGAAAAACATAGAGTATTATATTATATATTTCAGAAATGTAGATTATTAACCTGCACCCTCTAGTTTATATGTGTGGATGTGTGTGTATGAAAGAGACTGAGAGGGGTGGAGTATACACAGCCTAGTATTGCAGGTCAATCCATGGATCTAACTCGTGCATCACTTCTGTGCATCAACCCGAGACTGTAGACTTAATTCTTGTCCCAACAAAAATGCACTCAGAGTTTGTTGTGCTTCCTACCTGCTGAAGAGTTTTCTCACAGTGGAGACAGGCAGTGGACACCTGAGACAGCAGGATGGTCATGTCCTCTTGCTGCTGCCTCAGCCAGATCAGCCTCTCCCTGACGTGAGCGTCCACCACGCTTAGCGCCATCTCCTCCTGCCGACACAGAGTCTCATGGAGGTCCGCGAAGTAAGCTCGCACGCAGGAGCGTGCACTCTCTGCTGTGCCAGGCACCTGACGGACAAAGCAGAGAAATCCATTAATGCCAGGAAAGAAGTTAAATCGCTCATGTTTGAGAGGGCAGTTCTTTTTTCTTACATGTTCAGTGTGTGCCATGCCAATTCCATCCTCTACTATCTGCTCGCCCCCTTCTATTAGCTGCACAATGCCCACCAGCTTCCTCGAGTACTCCGACACCTCGTCTGTGAAGGTGCGGATGCAGTGGGCCATGTCCAAAATGGATGCACGGATCTGATTGGCTTCAGTCTCAAGAACAGCATGCTGAAAAGAAAACAGGGGATGAGGATGTCTCTTTGGGTGAGGATATCTAATATTAGTTTTGAGCATGTTTTGAACTACCTTATGTCCCTGGTGCTTGCCGTACTCCTTACACACACAGCACATGAGAGGCCCAGACTGACAGGGCTCCTCCAGGCAGACAAACTCGATGGCGTGGACCTGATGCTGTGGGCACAAGGTCTTCTCATGAGGCTTGTCCGCCAGCGGCACCCGACGGTGTTTGGCCAGGGTGCGAGTGGAGTGGGTGAGTTGTGAGCACTCAGCACACAGGTGGGTGGCGCACACGGTGCAGTACATCGAGGCCGTGTGGCTCTCGTCCTCATCACACCGTATTATGCACTAGTTAAGAAAGAAAAATTGTGAATGAAAGGTGTCATATATACAGCTTTCAGCCGCTTTAGTGAGGTTTCCTTACTTCTCCCATGCCTTTCAGAGCATCCTCCGCCATCCCAGACTGGTTGGACGCTCCATTCTGGAGCCGCTCCAAGAGTTCCAGCAGGGCAAAGTTTTTCTTCAGCCCCCAAACTCCAGAGTCCCCTGAACAGATGTAAGAGAATAAAATACTGACATGGGGAAGTCGTGATATTCACACTCAATACAGAGAAAATGATGGTTGAAAAAATTGCAATGTAGCAGTTTTCTTCTGTGTAGAGTTGTTTTTCTGTCCAGTGTGAATCCAGTGTAATAACACATCTATTAAAACATGAACTGAATAAACCCATTCACAAAATTGTCACATTAAACCAGTGATTATGAGCTTTGTCTTAATTTACTGATGTTTTCCAGCACAACCCTGTTGATTCCAGAGGAGAATCCATACAGGGTTTTCTGCTTCAATGATGCATACAAATTGGTCAAACCATGAATGAACTGGCTTTAACTCTCTGATATTATTTTCATCATTCTTAGGCACCTTTTATTCAACTTATGATGATAATGGTGCACTTCCCACTCTGTAACTTTGCTGTGAAGACAAACAATAACAACCTGCAGATCTCTGCATCTTGTTGAAAAGGTTTTCTGGACATTGCTGCTTTGATATTTGATAGATTCTGTAGGAAGATGAGTCATGGAGAGATGCACTAAAAATCTTCCAAACTTTCTCTGGGTAGAATCTCAAATTTTACTTCCATGTACAAGCATTATATGTTCATTGTGCCTGTACTGCTCTGTGACAGATTGTCTCATTTATAATAACTTTTCAATTTTAAAACAATGGGTCAAGATGACTTTACTCAACATGAAAGGTGTGTACAGATCATGTATGTATTTCAGACAGGACATTAATATGCTTTCATGTTACCATATTAAAAAAGTATGCTCTTTCTCACCCAGCTCAGTGACCTGTCTGTCGAAGGGGCAGCGGACCGCTCTGCCATGAAGGGGCAACCGGGTAAGACAATCATGGCACACAGTGTGGCCACAGAGCAAAAGACGAGGGACCTTGTCCCCTTGGAGGGAGAAGACGTCCTCACACACGCCACACTCCAGCACCTGGGAATGAATATACACAACGTGGTTAAATTCCAGAAAAGCCCTCTGTGTGTGTGTGTGTGTGTGTGTGTGTGTGTGTGTGTGTGTGTGTGTGTGTG